CATGGAATAAAACATTACCATTTCTGGATTTGATACAAAACACACTATCGACTGGTCAGTCAACGGCCCTTATGATAAACAAGTACTTGTTTCACACTTTGAGTGTTGCCAGCTGTGCAATTAAAAACCGCTATTTACGGTAATTATTTTGTTTATAATCAATTAGGACTCTTGATTATACTTGGCAACCTTAAATCAATTGCGTGTGACAAATTTATAGGGTAAAAGTAGCAACCTATGCTGTAGGTAGAGGTGGAATATTTAACAAAAGTCTGCTAGTAATTTTGAGGTTACTTTGTTCGTTATTCTAGCCCGGAAGCATTCCGCTAAACCAGGGGTGTGCGGCAGGCGGCCCGCGGGGCACAGTCCGATCTGCCAAGCCATTTAGTGTGGCCCTTGTAAAGACTCAACACTCATTCCCCATCAAGCATAAAATCCTAATTCGACAGTTTTTGTTAAAAAAGTCGCTCACATAAATAAAAATACATATTTTTTGCTCTTGTCGTTGCGTTAAATCTTTAGCTGTTTGCCCAGTATCTTTATTACTGCAACGGCATGAAAACTTAGCATATCTGGAGGGTGAAAATTTTTCCAAAGCTACATTATGACGCAAAAATCCTACTTCATAATACAAGTGTTACGTCATAGTAACGCGAAACAGTAATCGTATTTGTTTTATGCCCTGAAGTTGGAGTTTTAAAAAACGTGTTGTCATAATACAAAATGTAACGTCATAAATAACTTATGGAACCACCAGCAGTTATAGTCCAATTCAATCACCAAGACATATTAACTCGTGTACACACAGCCCGTTTTAACCATACAATGGAACTACTTGAAACTACCCAAGGTGCGCCGAGTGTTAAAGTCGTCATCAAAGCAATTTAATTTGTTCTAGATTACAAGCGCTATTGTCAGATGTAAGCGATCCCTCGTTGTCGAAGCGGCTGTTGAGTAATTGAGAATATTGAGTAAGATTTACGAGTAATAGCGAGTGCTAGCTACCATGCTTAATCATGATAATTAAATGCATAGCTGGTAATATTATTGTCGGTTGATGAACCACTATCTCAGTTTTGAATAAACTAGGTAATTGCCCTAATTGTAAGCAAAAAAACACAGAGAAAAATGTGGTAATAATCGAACATATTCTGTTAACAAGGACATAGAAAACAGTGTACTCCCGTAGCATGTGTACCAGGTTAGGGTTAGGCCATAATATTCCGATTTTCCTTATTTTAGCTCTATTACGAGTTCGGGGACTGTCTGTGTTAGCCAAGTAAATCCCCTGCCAATAGGTTCAGTCCCTTCACACAACTTGATATAAAGTAGGCGAACAAAATTAGCCATTGTATATAAATTCGAAACATGGGCGGAGATGTATCGTTTGGTGGTCACCGGTCTGGCTCATTATCGCGAGAATTAGCTGTGGCAGATGTATATTGCGGCCTTATTGTTCTCTACTTTACTTTGGTTTAGTTTGGAGTCTTGTGCAGGTGCAAAGTGTACAAACGTTTGCTAATCACAAATTGAAGTTGCTGCACAAATTGCCTCGCCTTATATCAGTAGGAAATAGTGCTAAAATGGCTTTTTTGGCTTCAAGATATATGATCGATAAGACACGGGCAAAGTACGGCCCGTGGGTCATATCCGGCCCGTTGGGTAATTCAATCTGGCCCGCCTGATGCTGCCACAACCAAACTGAAATCGAATTTTGATGTTTCAGCTAAAAATAGCTCCAAGAAATTTGTTGAGATTGCGGTTAAATTTAGTTTTGGCACGAGGCTTATTGTTTTTCACCTTTGATTTGTAACACTAAATATTGTTCATAAAATGTAACTTTTTACGTCACACTTACATGACCCGCCAGATTAGGTGCGCAAAATTTTTGGCCCCTGGTTTAAAACCCTGCCAACCCCTGTGATAGGTATATTTGGTCATATCTATAACCATTCGAAATCTTGACAAAAATATACTCTTTGGTATGCATAATGCTGTTTCGTGGCCACCAAAGTGTGAAAACGTTATAACCAGTACATGTGCTACTCACAAACCATCGTGCTATATATTAGTAACAACGTTTGCCTTTTTCGAACAAAGCCATGGCCCGCAATATTTGCTCAATGTACATGCTGCAACAATCCATCTAGTAGAACTATAATATATTTGTAAGTTTGTCTTGTCGTGCAAAGTCGCGGTCCGTATTATTTGCTTAATATAATTAATTATATGCAAACACATGCGATCATGTTTGAGGCTTGTTTATCATTTGAATTAGAAAAATCGAGAATTTAATTAATTTTCGAAGTATTATGAATATTGCATGATTAATTCCAGACCAACTGTCGTTATTGCCCCTCTGATGTGTTTTCCGAAAAAGGAATTCCACCGAACATCTATATCCGGCAACTTTCTTGACTCAGAACACATCATCCAATTCTGGCTACTAATTCGTGTGAATGGTGTTCTCGCAAAATGGATTTTTCGATCAATGTATAACTGAGAAATAGTTTGGGGATTCTGTATTGACACCAGAAGAAAGGCCGTGATTCGTCGTGTTATTGAGCCTTCTTATCGACTTCCTCTTCACAAATGGAATTTTCCCAACTATCTATATTCGAGGAAATATCTTAAGTGATTTCCCTAAAACTCATTTCATTTCTTGATCATATTAGACCGCCACATAATAACAGTCATAATATATCAAATTGCATTAGTAACTTCTAATTATTAGTAACGTTTCTGATTATTTTTGATAGTACGCTTTCAACAGGAGTAATTGATACCAGCCCTTCGTTTCGTGTCAGCGTCTCTTTAAATGTAGGACGACAAGAGGTCATACAGGGTATGTAGCGAGGAGACGGACGTGTGTCTTGTACTAGGGGGGGTACTCAGGATAATAGTTAGTTCAGGGTGGGCAAGAATTTTGTACCAGGAGCCAAAAATTTTGCCCATCTAGACTGACGGGCCACGTAATTGTAACGTAAAAAGTAACATTTTATGAACAATATTTACAGTGTTACAAAAGCAAAAGTGGAAAACAATGAGCCTCGTGCTAAAACTAAATTTAATCGCAATTTTAGCAAAATTCTTAGGCTATTTTTCAGCTAAAACGTCAAACTTTGATTTTATTTGGTTGTGACAGCTTCAGGCGGGTCAGATTAAATTACCCAACGGCCCACGGGTTGTAGTTTGCCCATGTCAGAGTTAGAGGCACGTCCTCAAATCGGAGATAATTCCTCTTCAGGAGGAAATTTTGTTGTTCTAAGAAAAAAATTTGTTTATTACTGTAATTCTTATTTAGTCATGATTTACTCCATTTGTACAAAAGCGTGAGTGCGACCTGCGTCTAGCACCAGCTAAGAATTCATTAAATACTGAATAAATAGTTTTTATGTACATGGTGAGGGACATGGAGAGTTCCAAAATAGACGAAGGGTGAAATTTTATAACAAAAGTTTGGGAACCACTGGATTCGAGTAAGCATATGAAGTGAGAATAATATGTTTTCATGTGTTAATTCATCATATGTTTTGGTTAGGATAGATATACGGTGCCCATGAAGACCCTTTACAGTTTTAATTTTGTTATAAAGTCAGTTCTTAATATATCTTAACCAGGTTGGTTTTAATCAGTAATTGTTCAAGTATTTTTACTTCATTTGACATCTGTGAGGGTCAAAACAACATATGGTATCGACAGTTTTCTTTGCAATTTCAAAAATTTCAAGACTTTATGGACATCTCATGTACTTCTATGCCTGCGTTTCCCAAAGAAGAGTAGAAAAAAAAGAAACGATTTTTTCCTATTTTGTGCAGTTTTTCTAATAACCGAACCGAGGCCAATTAGGACATATTCTAGAAAAAACATAACTTTTGTTTAAAGTGTTCCATATTATTGTGAGCTAAAATGTCGAGTCAGCGCAATCAAAAAGTCTGATTAGAGGATGTATTATGACAGTATTATCGCCATTTTTTGGTCAAAAAAGTGATAACGACTTAGACTTTTCAGATAAATTTAAATAGATTCATTCATTTGTCAACCAAAACAAATGTAAATATGAAAGCATACATAAAAACACTGGAGACTGTTCAACGATATGACTACTGTATTTTTATGAAAGGAGTAATTGAGCTTTAGGTGATTCGATTTAAGGGTTTCCGATATTATAAAGTTTGGGAACCGATATTGAACAGGGCAAATACCTTGAATAATATAATAATTCCGTACTTATCTGGAATTGTGACCGAACAAGAGATCTGGAGTGCTATATGATCAAGGCGTCTTGTGGGTTCTCCTATCTCCCGGTTAGGGTAGGATTTACATATTTTTTCTGGGGAAAAGAAAGCCCTTAGGACAGATTAATCATTCGTCCGGTAATCAGTTCATGTCGGGTATGGGATTACCGTATTCACGGTAGTTAGCCAGTTATTGGACACGTCAGTGTACATAACGATCGTTTCAATATTTATTATTCTCTTTCGTCATGATGAAATCGCTTTTCTCTTCGAATACTGGACCAATTGCTTTGAAATTTTCAGTGATTAAAGACTGATTTTTTTGCCAGAAGGCTTTTACTTTTATTTATTTCAAAATTTTCTGTGGACTCCAAGAGATGTGTGTTTTATGTGTAAAAATAAAAAATAGCGACACTTTGTTACGTGTCCATATATTTGAGCATAGCTCTCTTGTTCGTTTTCAGATGCATGAACTCGATGGCGGAGGGAGCCGTAACCGACCAGGGGGTACATGAACCAATCAACGACGACGAAGAGTCCAGCAATCCTCTCGCACATGACTATCCCCGCGTGGGATTCGAACATGCGGACCCATGCAGGGTATTCAGGGGTGGCAAGAGTATTCCTAACGCTTTATCACGATGCGCCACAACGCCGAGTTGAATATGAAAACTCGTTTGTCGACGACAAGAAACACGTTATTAATGTATTTAATTGGATGTGTAAATGTATAAAATAGCCAATTTATTTTCACTTAGTTTAGCTATGTCTTAATTAATTCTCTTGTGTGTAATCTCAATAATGCTGAGTCAGCAGTTTTTGCGTCTGGAATTAATAATCTTGATGGAATAAGCTAACAAGATGGCCGTACAGGACATTGTAGGAACCTGGGTAAGACTTTTGTTCTCGTTTTTCTGAATTTCCAGTCTGAACAAAGCTCTAGTCAAGTCATTACATTCCCATGGCAACCTGATTACGTCATATCTATTCTTGGTTTTTATATACTTTGGGAATCGCTGTGATATGTGATTAACGAGGAGTATTTGGCTTTATGCCTCTCTTTTCATTGAATACCCACTGCTTCTAACAATAACTGCTTTGGCCACTTTGATTCACGTGAGCCAGAGCTACGAGAACAAAGAGCCGTATGAGGCTCCGGAGATACAGAGCACTATAACACTGGTCGATCGTGCCTGTCTGCAAAGCCTTGTTTTGAGCTAGAGTATATTGAAATGTCGCATACAAATAGTTTAAACAATGCTCACTTTAAGTTAGCAACAATGTTAACTTTAGTCAAGGTATGTTATTACGTGATAATGGTTTGTATGACGTAATAAAATGATAAGACGTAATTAAAAGGTGCAATATAATGTCCTATGGTTTGTAAGAAAATGGAATGACGTCATGATTATGACGTATGCTATGACGTAAATATATGGTGTATTAAAATATTGTATTGTTTGTATGACAAAATAAAATTGGAATGACGCCATGATTATTACGTATGATATGGCGTAATTATAAGGATTATTAAAACGTCGTATGGTTTGTATTAAGTAATATAAAAATGGAATAACGTCATGGTTATGACGTATGGTATGTCGTATTTATAAGCTGTAATAAAATGTCGCATGAAAATAGTTTAAACAACACTTTGTTTTTAGTTTCCCTCAGGATACTTCGGGCATTTCAGAAGCAAAACAAGAAATGACATTCTACAAGAGTACAGACATGCTGCTGCCCCCAGCCCGCCTGAGAAGTTCGTACAGAGAGTCAGGGTATGTTGTTACGTTGTGATGGTTTCTGTGACGTTATAAAAGTGAAATAATGTCATAGTAATGACGTCTGATATGGTATAATCAAATTAATCAAATAAATAAATTAATTGAATTATGTTCAAAGAGTCAGCCTATGTATAATATACGTTATAATGGTTTTGTGGGACGTAATAATATTCGAGTGATGTCATGATTATTACGTATGATATGACGTAGTTGAAACTATTGTTGTGATATCGCGTGTCGGAACTGATATGTTTTAATTTGCAATGTCTGTGCTCTTCTACCTACCTATTCCCCGCAACTCAATTTAAACTTAATTTCGCTCAGATAGGCAGGGTATGCTATTACGAGATAATTGTTTGTACGGCGTAATAAAAATTCTATGATGTCATAATTATAACGTATGACGTTAATAAAATTGTACCAATCGCTATGTACTGTCATTTCTGCCACAAGAATAGAAAAGTATATATATAACAGTAATTCCCAAACCGCGACGTGCGGGCCAGTTACGCCCGCGTAACGGTTTAATATAGTCCGCTGAACTTAGTGAAACAGTCCAACACTCTGTAACACGTTTAAAAATAACAATTAATAAATATCAAGTTCGAGGTGGAATGATTTAAAAATTTGAATTTTCAGTGCAATCTGCATTCCTGACCCTACTGACAATCACTAATTTTGGTAGGGGTATTTTTTGGGCGTGAGTTTGTACAAAAGATCTGAAAATTTTCCAATAATGATTTGTTTCCTTATAGTTGAGGCATCGAAGGCCTTAATTTGTGCAAAGTGGTATAAAAACTTATTTATAGCTCTTGGCGTCAGTGGTTTCTTGTAGTTTTATCCCCACAGATGTTTATGACAGCACTAGGTCGGCCAAATTCAAATATTCGAACCGAATCGAATATTGGAACGTTGCTATAACATTCCAAAATTGCTCTATTTTCAAAATGGTTTAAATTTAATTTTCGTTCATTAAATGATAAACTGAATACCACACCGGCACTTAGAAAGACAATTTAAATGGAATTTTAATTGGAGAGGCTCTCGAGTTTCATGCTTTGTCGTGTAACAATCATTCCATTGTGACGCAACAAGCATCGATCTGACGCTACTTGTAACTTAATCTACTTGTATTCGGAACGTAGTCAGACGACATTTATGGGAACACTGGGATATTTTCTGAACGGGAACACAGAGAGGAAATCGAAGAGCTAAGATTTATTAGGAATACTTATTTTTGAAAAGAAATGTGGCTGTGTTAGGCCGATTGTGTGACCCCACCTCATCCCTGTTGTCTCCCCAAGATGGTTCATCTATAGCAGGGCTACTCAACTATTTTTACCGAAGGTCCGCATACAAAACTTCAAGAATATTTGGGTCTGGACTTCCCAGAAATTATATTTCGGCATCTTCAAACACGCAATTCCTCGGCCGACTAATGATAATTAGCTAATCAAGATTGTTTGTTATGGCGTTATAGTTCTTTTCATATATATTTTTAAATCTCTAAAAGTGATTTTATAAAAAAAAATTTAAAAGGGATGATTCAAAATGAAGATTTATGCGCGGTCCGAATCGAATACCCGAGAATCCGGATTCGGAGATAGATGATAAAATATTTTGTTTGGCCCTCCATATCTTATATTAAATGTAATAATCATGATTAATGAATGCTAAGTGAGCTGAGTGCGGGCCGCAATTGGCCCGCGGCCCACTAGTTTGAGACCCCTGATTTTAGACCATCAGTGTGGAAATTGAGTGACCCGCACCTCCCCTTGGCAGACTAACTGGGGCTTAAATCTCTATTTTGCACGGTCATTGCATTTTGTCGAACCTCACAAAACTTAATTTTGCCGGTTTTTGAAAGCACTTGAGAGCTTTTGGTTTCTGTTGGATTTAATCCCAAGTGCCCTTGAAGACGCCAAACCAGCCAGTGTAACAGGCGTCGCCACAGTACTCGATACATTGAACTGCTTTAGGGCTCGCGTCAATCATTTATTGGCCCTAAATACACCAGATATATGGTTAATTAATCTATGGCTATGCTAAGTTTATGTGGTTTCAGTAATCTTGACATTTCCGTGTGTGAAATAAAACTACATAGATTAAACTATGTGTTAAAAAATATATATGGTTTCATCAGGTCTTGAAATTTCCGTGTGTCAAATGAAACTACATATAACTATCTATGTGCTAAATAAGCTATGTGTTGAATCTGTGTGTTTTCATTAGGTCTTGACATTTCCGTATGTGAAATGAAACCACATGATTAAGCTATGTGTTAAATCTGTGTGGTTTCATTAGGACGATCAGGTTGGGATTTTCGTGAGTGCCCTTAACAGGGCTACTCAACTGGTGGACCGCGGTCCGAATCCGGACCTTTCGGGTATTCAATTCGGACCGCATCTAATTATTTATTTTGGATCATTAGCCCCACTTTTGAAGTTTCCTTTTATAAAATGACTTTCATAGTTTTGAATATATATGAAAAGAACTATAACACCATAATAAACAATCTTGATTTCGTAATAATAATCGTTAGTCGGCCGAGGAAGTGCGCGTTTAAGAACGCCGAAATATAATTTCTGGAAAGACCGGACCCAAATTATTTTTAAGTTTTGTATGCGGATCTTCGGTAAAAATAGTTGAATAGCCCTGGCCTATAACAACCGTACTCAAAAATTAGTTTCCTTCAACTAGGAATACTGCACCCTGATAATTTTATATAGTGTGAATAGCTTTTCGAATCTCAGCAGATCATCGTAACTTTACACGAAGATAAGTCTACTTCACTTCTAAGTGTTTACACGTAATCCACTGCTCAAATTCCATGTAGTTTCAGTAGCTTTAGGCATTACGGTGGCCGCTAGTAAATTTGCTTTTCACCCACTTACCTCAAATTATCTACCAAATAGTGACACCACCAAAAAATTCTTAAAAATTCACTCATTTCAACGAAATCATGACAATCTTACTCTATCACCCTAATGAACATTTAATTGTGCCAAGATTTTTTTTAGAAACGTGCAACGTTTTATATCGACAATGTAGTTTTTGAATTCAATATTTCTATCTTATTATTATATTATATTTCTTATCTTATATTTCCCTCTTCTCCAGATCTCGACTATCTTAGATCTTGATTATCTTATACTTTTAGCTGCGCTCAGATATTATTTTTCGCAGATTGCGAGGCATAAAATTGGCCATGTAACCATCAGATGCCACCCACAGAGGATGGAATCATGTTTCGACAACTAGTTCCACTCATAACACTAATATTATACCTTCAGATGTTATTTCTGGGGTTCGTTTTTGGATTTGAGGTTCTATGTTGGCTGAGTAACCAAGCATAATATTCGATGTGTTTCTGATTTAATGCACACAATCCCCAGAAAATCTAACAAAATAACGTTTAAAAACTGATTCTACTCATAACAAACTATTTTTCTATTCAGCTCTGCCCAGATCGTCACACATTCTCCAAACACGACAACAGACATTCGTTCCCGACAGATGCAAGCTACTTTGATACGGTGAGTGACGGCATCCGCGTACATTTTAACCCACGACGATTGCACCTGCATACTATTGCACCTATGGACATTTTTTTGTTTCACGGATATTTGAACCCATACTAACCCTAACCCATGGGTTTTAGCACCCGCATATGGATTGAACCCGCGGATATACACATGGGTTCAAATGTGCGTGGGTTCGAATGTACGGTCACCTGAGTCACGTATTGATTGATGATGCAAACCAACTTGGGGGAAAAGAAAGTTGAGCTTCATTGTCTTTCTGCTCGTTGCAAATCCTCTAAATTCTTCAAAATTTCTTCCCTCAACTTTGAGTTGTGTCACTGTACTTTGAATTCCTAACCCAAATTGTATTTCAATATCGCGGCGTATATGCCAGTACAGGTGGGAAGTCGAATACATAACACATTATTATAAGTTACAAATAGTTTTATCATTTACGGAGAAATATGGGTACTCCTGAAGTATGCGCACTAAGATGTCACACAACCTGAACCCTAACCTGGTACACAACCTGATTTCAGGTAGTGCGCCATTTTGGTGCGCATACTTCAGGAGGTCCAAAATATGTCCACCCTCACAACATAAAAATCTGAGTAGCATACTGGTTCATCTATAGGCGTAGTAAGAGGGGGGGGGGGGGCTTTTTAACATTTTGTAGTAATTGCGCTTATATATCTTCGATAACTTCGACAGCGGAGTACGTCTAAGGAGCTATTCTTTGTGATATTGTGAGATATCAGAGGCTGCTTTTAGCTGGCTTTGATTGGAGCAAAAGGTATATTACGTCATAATACAAAATATTACGTCATTATACATATTATGTCATTATACAACAAAAAAAATGGCCCGTTCCAAATTTTAGGCTGGCTGAGCTCTTGTTAGCTGGTCCCATCCCGTGGGACATTTCCCGCGGGAATGAATGACATTTCCCGCCCTGTTCAGAATAAAGAGTTCAAAAGTGTCATCCTCTCGTTCTGAATGCAACACCTGACAAAACTGAACCCTGGGACCTTACCTATGGCGGGTTGATTAAAAATAGTATTTCATACCAATTTTTATACAAGATGGGCCGAAAAAATGTTGCCATTTTTAACATTCTAACAATTTTAAAATTTACAAAGATTGTTTCATTTTCAAGAAAACTGTTGCCAAAATCAGCGGACTCTTCTAGGGCCTTGTTTGGAGTAAAAGTCTTGAACACGCCTTGTATATAATAAAAACGAATCTTTCCTCTTCCAGGGTCTTGGACGGCGGAAAAGCGGGAGAGCTTCCACCGTATTCAAACCCGATTTCATCGCTTGGATTCCTCACCAGGATGAACTGAAGAAAGAAGGAGCGGCAATGTCTGTTTATAGGTAAGACACTAGGAATAACTTCGCAGTAAATTAACTGTTAACTTTAATGTTAAATATCAGTAAATTATCGGATTTTTATAAGCTAACTCAAGCTTTTCGCCCAGAACAAGGCTCTTTAAAAGCAGCTACTGATTTTAAAATATATAAAGTGCAAATATTATTCAGAAGGGCTGAATTCCCCTCTGGGTAAAACAGGTAAAAAGTGTAAATATTCTGTGGTTTTCACTGTTAAACTTCATTGAGTTGACGGAATTACTGATGAAAACGTAATAATATTGCAATGAGAAAACTAGCTAATACCAATTTTATTTTGTAAGTTTTAAATATGATAAAATCGTAAGTAACGCCAGTAATTTTCATTGTTCATCCTAGTAAATTAACGGAATGGAACTTTTGAGACAATGAGAATACATTTGCAGGGAAAAGGGCACTGACTTTTACTGTTAAAATTCATGAAATTGATACAACTAAAACTAATAAAGCGTTTTTACGTTATATCGTATGTTTGGTTCACCTAACCTCTTGTCGTAGCCACCATCAAGTCCATGCATCCGGAAACAAACACCTGGCTAACTAATCCCATACCCGACATAGACTGGTAAATGGTCCGTGATCAACCACAAAATAAATCGTCTTATCGGCTTTCCTCTTCTTTATGATAGCTGTAAAACTCAACCCTATTACCAGTGCCCTCAATATTAGAACATGATGACTTTCAATCTCTTTTCTATTCAGATTAAACTTCAGACACGGAGATACGTCACCCGAACCCGCATCTCAGCGTCTATCACCAACCGTTCGCCGCAAGATGGCGTACCAGGAAGACAATTTCGGAAAACAAAAATGGAAGAGCGATTACAAAATGTATTTTCAACACGGGCAACCAAACCATAAAGTCGACACAGACTTCAATACAGGACGACAATATGAAGGTTCTGAATTCAATACCCGATCGTACCATGATGTCAACTCGACAGGAAAACTTAGAAAAATTGTTCCTCATTATCTGGCGCATACTGAATCCGTAGCCCGGAGAATAAAATCGGCTCCTTTAATGAGACTTAGCGTAGGAGACTGCCTCATGTGGCCGAAAAAGCAACTAAACGAGTCGATCGTAATTCCGAATCGTTATGACAAAAAGTCCGAACATTATAAATTTAGGAACCCTCTCCAAGCCAAACTGCCTCGCAAATTCAAAGACTGCCACGGTCCCACTAAAGATGAGCTTCTCAAGCCTCCTCCCTACCATCAACGAGAAAAAGTACACTTGCGCCCTCCGGGGGTTACCAAGCGTCCCCAAAGCGAACGAAGAGCGGAAAGCTACGTTCGTGTCCCCTCTACTACAGCCACTACTATGACGTATGAAACCCCACATTATGACGTCACCCCCACTCCCCCAGTCACCCCTAGGCCACCTCCAGCTTACGAAGCCGCTCCAACTCCCCCTGTTACGCCAAGACCGCCTGTGACGCCACGTGACGTCACAATGATTCAACGACCCCCGCCAACCGCACGTGACGTTGCGATGACGTCACAGTATCATTCCAACGGTTGTATGACTCCAGCTGCGACCCCAGTGACGTACTTTGCACCCACTGATTCAACGCTAACCCCAACATGGGTGAAGCAGGGTAACCCGATCCCAACTGTCGTAGTAAATTAGATAATATATTAGTCAATTGAAGCAAACTACCAGTGCACTGATAATTGGGCTTATGAATTGTTTTGCAAAATTATTGTAATTAAATGTAATGAAATCGCTTTTTTCCGGAACTAATAGACCAACCAATTTCAATTTTTCATCATCTATAAATGGAGGTAGTCGTTACGAAGCTAATATTTTTAATTTGTTTAATTTCTTTCGAATCTTACAGGAAGATGTTTTACACGAATATTTGCCTTTAATTTAAATCTATTGAGAAACTCTTTTATTTAATACGGGAATACATTTTTCCGTCACGGTTTTTCTCATCAACCAATCTGCCAATCAATCCCAAATTTTCACACCTCAATGATTGAAAAGGTTGTTAAAAGGCTATTAATTTTAATTTTTTATCCAAGCTATCGATGTTTCACGAGTTGTAAGAAGGCTAATACCCTTTTATTTCTTACGAGTCCGTGGGTTTCGAAATTTAGCGAACGTTTGCCAATTTGACAGTGCTGTGATAATGGGGCTCATTAATTGTTTTGCAAAATTATTATTGTTGGTGCAAAAATATCGTTTTCCTCCGGAAATAATTGTTCATCAATTTCAATTTCTCAAAGATAGAAGAAGTCTTTAGGAGGCTATAACTTTTAATCTCTCTTCCAGGCTATCGATGTTTCACAGAAAATATGTTTGTATTTTGATCTATGGGAACACTATTTATGATATATGGGAACACCCCATTCCACTACACTTGTCCACCGATCTTTTCAGCATACTAGGTGATTTGCTGTGTCCTGTGAAACCCGATATTGCACCCGAATTAGGCAGTTATATTTGAATTAAAGGGAACACTTTTTTTTTATAAATTATGGGAACACTTTATTCCATCATGCTTCTCCACCAATTTTTTCAGCAAACTAAGTGCTCTGCTGACTTACCATTCTCATATTATTGAGGATTGCTCCCTCGTTTCAAAACAAAAAATGTATTTCCAATATATATTACTAATCGCTCAATCAATTTCATCACTTCAAGATGGTAGAAGTCGTTAGCAGGCTATTACTTTTATTATTCCTTATGAGCCACAAGGGGCACAACATGACGTCGAAGTTAATTTGTTTCTTTTTGATTTATGAAGTGAAGAAACAGTGCTGTGGTAGGAACATAAATGAGGATCGTTTCGTAAAATTATTGTTATTTCAAATCAATGTTTTCTCAATCAATTTCAAATGTGCATAACTTTAAGATGTTACAATAGGTGAATAGGCTATTACTTTTAATATTTCTTATGAGCCACAAGGGACACAACATGGCGACCAAATTATGCTGTTCATTTTGATTCATAAAATAAAAGTAAAAAGTGCTGTTGAATAAGAATCGCAAATTTATTGTAATTGTTTAAAAAAAAATTGATTTTCTCATCAAGTAATTGGGCGATCAATTCCAAATTTCCATACCTTCAAGATGAAGAAAGTTGATAGGAGGATATTACTTTTGTTATTTCTTATAAGCCCAGTAAGAGGGGGGGGGGTAAAGGTAGAAAAACAGTGCTGTAAAATAAGGGTCGTTTTGTAAATTTATTGTATTTTCAAATCAATGTTATCTCGTATAAATTTCAAATTTTCATAACTTAAATATGGAGAAAATTATTAGAAGAGTATTACTTTTTCTTATGGGTCACAAGGGACACAACATGGCGTCCAAATTATGCTATTTTATGTGAAATGTGGATATCCAAAATAAGGCGAGCAAGATCTAATTTAACAAATTTTTTTTATGCCCCTCACGACATGTGTACCACTTCGCTTCGGGCATCGTGTTCCTATATTTGAGCATTTTTCTCTTTTTTGTTTATTATTAATAAAATAATTGTAGTGAATTATTTGAATTCTTAGTTTTTTTAACGAGGCCAGCGCAAAACTGCAAATTTTCTCTAAAAAAATATATATTTATTACGGATATACCTATTTTTCATGAAAGTTTTATCATCGAATTCACTGATCTGAGCCTAGTACTAACTTTTGGTACTCTAAAATTTCATTGGTTTTTAATATTACCCGCATCCAATTAATTTAATATTCTTTCTTGTTTATATTTGATAAACAAGTTTTTTGAGTCTTGGTTATTATTTATAATAAAGTAGAAATTATGCTTTGCTACATGTTTATGTCCCTCTCTGAATGAAGAAATTTTTATGTCAAAAGTTTTTTTCGTTTTGCAAGTTATTTTACTGAATGTTTTGAAAGGGACTGTTTTAAGTCTCACACCAGACTCAACGATGCCGGCGATATAATGCACCTACCATAATTCTCTATGACAGTGTTTCCCAGCTCTTTGGTCGCGACCTAAAACTGAGTCGCCTGAAAAAATTTTTGGGTCGCTTCTGTTAAATTTTATTGTTTGTTTTATATTTGTATTGAGATGTTGCTCAATAGTAACTGTATTGGCAGCATTTATTTTGGTTTGGTTAAGTAAAACCAAGCCACGATTTCAGAATATCGCGGAGAGCAAACTAGCTCAGCTTTCTCACATTGTATTATATTAGTCATTCAATTTTGCGGTCGTAAAAGGACTACATGTCGTTTAGTATTCGAGCATATCCTTGGGTCGCAAGATCTTACGAAATTTATTTTTTAGAAAATTTAGGTCGCTTGAAAAAGGGGTTGAGAAACACTGTCCTCTGGCAAAGTTGGCCGGCAAAGTTTTTTAAAAGACGCAAAGAGTAAAAACGAAAAGGTTTCAAGACTCAACACCAATCACGTTGGTGACAACATAGCTAGCCATGGCCAAGATTTCCAAGTGTTGAAATGAACGCAATGTATGATCGTTTGATATATGAATAACAATTTGGCAAAAAAAAATGATATATATAATGTTGGGCTTATTAAACCTTTTTTTTGTATCACTGCCGTGATTGAAACTTATTGAAGACTTATCGATCGAAAGTTAGGGGGTCCCCCAAAACAGCGCTTTTACTCCATAGTGACACCTTGTGTCCCATCACTAATTAATTAATAACTCGCTAATTATACCACATAATTCGCCCAAAATCAATAGGCTCCTGGCCCGAGATAAGATAAATGCACATGCAAAATCTGGAGCAGGTTCAATCTCGCTTTCGTGAGATATCGCGTGCATCTAACAGACAAACAGACATACAGACAGACAAATACCTATCAACATACTCACCGATTAAAATCGATAAGTAATAATAGCTCAGTACTTGTCACTGAAAACCCATAAAGACCAGTGCTCAAAAGTGGACGTTTGTCTGGATCAAGGATGTGCGACATTTTTGTCGGTGGGCCATTCAACCAACTTCAGACATCTGGCTGGTCCCTTCTATGAGAAAATTCTTTCCGGAAAATAGTGATAAATTGAGTTCCCAATACCGAACTTCGAAGATTCAGACCATTCCATAAAATAATAGCTCATTATATATAATTGAATGTCCGTGAAGAGTAATGGGAGCTCCAGAAGTATGTGTACCAAGATGTCGCACAACCTGAACATAGTATGCATGTACGGATTCAGGTTGTGCGACATCTTGGTATACATACTTCTGGAGCACCGAGTACTGCTTGAAAAGTTCACGTCTGTCTGGATCAGGGTGTGCGACATTTTTTCGGTTTGCTATATAATCAACTTCAGACATCTAGCTGGACCAAATAAAAAGAAGAGAATGCGGCTATTTCTCAGTCGTACAGCAATAAATACATCGGACAAACAGCAAAAGACGTAGCGACAAGAGTATTAAAACATTATATGATTAGGCCAGGGTGTGCGACACAAAAAATAGTTTTTCCATGTACACAACGATAAATAATTCTCACAATGCTCAATTTTATTAATTTTTAATTTTAGTGGGACATTTGGAATTTTTGTTGTTGCATAGGTTGTTAACATCAGCTTTGCCAAAAGTAAGAATATCTTACTTGATGGGCAAAAATTTGAGTGTGACAAGGGCCAAACTAGATGAACTGGCGGGCCGGGTTGTGCCCCGCGGGCTTCATATTTCCCACCGCGCGTTCAGAGCCTTATTCCGAGCCACACCCTCCTTCAATATAAATCCAATTACATCTGATATTGTTATCACATTATATGGCGGAGGCGTAATAAAACAATCGAAAGAAATTGATCTGTCAATTCAAATTATCGATCTTTATAACTTTTCAATTCCATCTTGAAATTAAAGTTATAGCGTGGTTTAATAACACGGAAGACATTCAGTTGTTAGTTGTCTGCGGTAGCGGCTGGAACTGGTTTTAACCGGTATTTTTGTTTGAGAAACTGTTGCAGAAAAGCTTGCGAGGCGATGTTAAAATATAGCGACGCTTCTCAATTGGTTACCGGTTCAAGTCGGGCAGGGATCGTATTAGCCCATCAATATAACAAGGCAGAAACTAGAGTGAAAGACCAGAAACTGCATGAATCACGGTGTGACATGACAGACAGGGTACACGGGAAATTTCCAAAGTGGGGTTCTGCTATTTCTAATAGCCAAGTTAGACCGTAAAAGCCATTTGGTTCGACTGGAAACCGTTGTTTTCGTGAGTCTAAGATAGTTACAAGCTATGAAAAATTGATATGTATGATACATGATTTTTTTTTACGTTTCAAAATGAAGGGTCCGAACCTCAACTCCCCAACACTAAGCTTTGCACCGGGTGACTGAGAATAATACAAAACCTAAATTATCGATCCTTATACCTTTTTCATTCCATCTTGAAATTAAAGTTATAGCGTGGTTTAACAAGAAAGACATTCGGTTGATAGTTGTCTGCGAAAGCGGCAGGAACTGGTTTTAACCGGAACTTTGTTTGAAAAACTGTTGCAGAAAAGCTTGTGAGGCGATTTTAAAATAAGGCGATTTCGATTGTTATCAGTACAAGTTGGATATGGGCCATATTTAAACAATCAATTGTCCCTGGCGCACTTGGCAAAAAATAGAGTAAAATATCAGGATTGTGTGAATTCAGTGTGATCGACCAGAGGCATAGCCAGGAAGTGGGTTGAGGGGCGTACACCCGCATCTTGTATCTGCAAAATCTTGTACCATTCATAAATGTCCATGTGCTTGTACGCTATCTGTTCTATCTTGGCAATTTGTGTACTTCTTCAATGACGTCACCAAGTATTGACATCAACTAATCCCCCCCCCCCCCTCAAGAAACTAGAAAATTTTAGAAACACTATTATTTATAATAAGAAAATACTATTACCGACTTCTGCGTAATATCACTGGAGGTTTATGACGTCATAAATCATATTAGAAATTAGAAAAAACGTCGAAATTGAGAATCAGTTGAAAGAAGGTTCGCAAAATATAACAAGGTAAGATTTCTTGGTTTAATTGAGGTTTTTTTCCACGGTAAGGCTTGAAAAAGAAGCCTTAGAAATATCTTAGACGGCACTATTATGTTATCGCCCCATATATAATGTATTTTACGGAACATAGGGCGCGCTTTAAATCCTTTTTTTTTCTTCTAAAAAATTAACAGTGCGAATTACAATATAAGCCAATGCGCCTAACATATGGCTCAGGTAGTGAGGTATTTTTGATTTATTGTCCACAATAAAAACCAGTATGGGTACCAGTTGCGCCTTATATATGAATAAAAACAAATTTATTGATAATGTGCATTGTAACTCAGTGCAAGATTTTCTCAAAAATCGACGTGTGTCTTATACGCTAGTGTGCCTAATCTAATGTATGTAGAAGATAGTGTTTTATGCGCTACTGCCTATAATTAAAACGAGTACCAGGCGCGCCTTATCGTCCATTGCGTCTTATTCATAAATAAAAACCCAATATAAAACAATTTATTGACAGTGCGACTTATAACGACGCAAAATACGGCAATTTTCTCAGAGGGTCATATTAGTATAAGTTAAGCTAGCGAGCCTATGTATGATAACCCCATTTTGATGGCAGTTTAAAACCTTAGCATGACGCATCAAAGGAAGGGATGGGATTATTTTCAGTTAGGCTACTTCGCTACCCCCCCCCCCCCCCCCCCCCCCCCCTTCCCCATAATATGTGAAAAATCACACTCACTAATTAAAGTACTTTGTTCGTGAGCCCCATTCATTTTTGCGGTGGAGGTTATAAATACTCGCACTCACTAATAACTGCATTTTTTGCTAATATAAGAGTTTTCGTGATACTATTTTGTAATTAACTGAACTTACTATGCTGTCGAAGTTATCCAAGGCATATAGGCATATCAGCCCCTGGCCTATGTATCTCTTTCGCCATCGCCATTTTGTATAATACGGTGATTTACCGTATTTTTCTGTGCGAACATTTTTGACAATAACTTATGTTAAAACAAAATATCGATCAATTTTGGAAGATTTGGAAGCAGTACTCACCATCCCCGAAATAGAGTCGCGTGCGAAGTACCGTAGGTCGTGGTGACAAAAGTTTGAAGGACACCTTCATTAGTCTGTATCTCTCTCTATTTTTCTGCAAAATGAACATTTTCACACAGGGAGATGCCGAACGTCAAAGTTGGTTCTAATCAGGATGGGCAAAGAAATCAAGAAAGTAATGACGTCATCAGTAATGACGTCACAAACATCAATGAAGCGGGAGGCCCGAGCTTTACCGTGCCAACATTCAGCATTAAGGTAAGGATATTTAGACAAAATCGAATATTCGTTCGAATTTGATTCGAATAGTTTCGAACTGAAGTCGCTTCCGATAGTCTAATTTAATGTAGTTTCATTTTAATGATTTGAAATTGGCAGTGCAGCGGTCGTTAACCAATTTAGCAGCAAAATCGGTTCATGACTGACGATTTTTTCGCCCAAGCCCTTAAAAAATCCACGAAACTCCAGCGATAAAACTCATATTTATTCAAAAATGTGGACTTCGATATTGTTTTGCCGTAACAGACGCTTCTACTGTGCATTATTTTATCACAAAAAATAGAAAATCGAGCTACCAAGTCTCTTTTTTAATCTAATTTTCAAGATTAGTTGTGCTTGATCTGACAAAAACGATTTACTCGTTGCTTATAGCAGTGGTCGGCAACCACCGGGCCGCGGCCCATCGCCGGTCCGCGGAAAGATTACTACCGGTCCGCAAAAAGATTACATAAAAGGGGACAACGTCCCAAAAACACTTTTACAATCTAACAACAACGAATCCCCGCGATTAAAATTTCAAATGATAATGAGTTGAAACGAGTATTTGCGATATATAGCTTGGCATTCTTTTGGTCGATACTCTCAGATAAATATTCAGACATTGCAAGAGAAGCTTCACAATCAGTGTTGTTACCTTTTTCTATGTGGGTCGGGTTTTCGATATTTACAATTACAAGAACAGAATCGAAATACCGAAAAAGGATGGACCTAAGAAACACATTACGTGTTTCACTTTCGACTATATCTTCAAATTGGGAACAGTTAATGAACAAACAAATACAGATCTCGCATTAAATAGCATCACCGGTACCCCTGTTTTTGGAGATAATTTCAACATAAATTTTCTAATGCGTATAATTTACTACGTAAGCTTAGTTCGTTTGTATAAAGGTGGTCCGCCAAAATTTTGATCAGGCTTTACCGGTCCGTCATTTAAAAAAGGTTGCCGACCACTGGTTTACTGCAGCAGAGCTTCCCAAAATTTTGAGCTCGCGACCCGTTCCAATATATTTAAAGCGCACCGCTTCTTTAATCATATGTTTTTTCTCAAAATCATGAGATTTATGTTTTGCACTAGTTTTCAATAATGTGTTTTTCGAAGCAAAAGTCTAAATAGGTACAATAGATATGACGCTTTGTGTGAAATTGTCGTACTTTTTGCGATCCCCAAAGTCCGTTGCACTTTCGCCTGCGGGATTGCGCAGTTTTGGATTACAGGTTGCTTTTGTGTAAAATATACCCGCTTACAAATGCATTCATTGCATTGAAAATCTCAGTGATTTAAATCTCCAGCTATGAAACTTATATTTATTCAAAAATTGGAACCTCGAGATTATTTTGCCGCAACAGACGCTTTTACCATGCATTATTTGCAAAAAATTCAATAATCGGGCAACCAAGTCCATTTAATTTATCGACAGAAATTATGCTCAACCCTAAAAAAACGATTTACCCTTCCGTTATCGGCCACTGCTTTTGTGTGCAACACATTCCGATTCATTGACAATCATAGTGAAATGATTTGTCGCAACAGACGATTCTACCATGAATTATTTCATCACAAAAAGTTAAAATCGGTCAACCAAGTCTCTTTCCGATGTAATTTTAGACAGAAATTATGCTTAACTTCACAAAAACAAAATTCATCTGTTCACTGCTTTTTTTTTGTGCAAACGACCCGTCTCCCTGTACATGCCAATCCATTGACAATCATTGTGATATCCATTTTGTTTATTCAGAGAATCCCTGGAGTTTTTCAGGCCGAATCACCCGTCCTTGACACACCTGAAGAAATTCACAAACAAGCCTTAAATAAAGACTTCAGGTGAGAATAGTGTCGGATAGGAGTCTCACCGGATCGCGAGTGGGGTCGATTCACGAGTTATTCGAGTCTTGAGTCAATAAATGATTTAAATATTACTGGCTTGTCTACAAGTTGATGAATTTAGTTGACACTGACACTGCGTCATTTTTGAGTCGTCGATTTTTCAGACTTCGGATCTGATCACCGAGTTAGGGCAATGACTTGATGGTTGAAGTAAATAGAGCACGTTCAGCTTAATTAGTCCTTACTTACAGTGCCTACAGCCCTACACATAATTTGAACCCCAGAATATAACCCGTGTGACAGCATTATCTGTAAGTTATCCATTCCTATTTGATCTAGACTGGATGCACTCCACGAATACCTGACAGGAACTCGCCATTGCATAAATAGACTTCGTAGAAAAGTCCGGCTCATAATACGACTCTAAGTTGGAGGAATTTAAATATTCGAACATTCGAAATATTAGTAAAAATTGACTCCAACTTCAACGCAAACAAAGACACCAGCCTTTGGCGTTCTATTTGATTACGCTATGCAATGTAGTTAAATCTTGCAAATCATTCATCGCCATAAAAAATAATAGAGCGTGGCTGGACAGAATATGATGTTTTCTTAACTTGCAAGATAATGCTGCCAGGTTATGCATTATTGAATGAAATTATCGTTTTTTTTTCAACAGCCATTTCATCGATCGTGACATCAGATTACGTGAATTACATTCCCGTTTGCGACTTTTAGCGATAATATCGTTCGCTATGGCGGTTTCCGCGAGCTGTCTCGCAGTCGTTGATATTGAAACATCAAAATCAACAAGAGGAGTGCTAGCACGTACTCTTAACTGCGAAGAAACTTATGTATCAGGATATTTCAGGTATGGAATTCAAGTTAAACATCTGTGCTATTGTGCAAATAGACTCTTGAATCACTTAGAATAGTCATGTTCAATTTTGCTACAGCATCCTTGCATTGTACGCATACGCATCCCAAAGCGCGAAAGCATTGTGTATTTATACTCCACACCTAAGTACTTGCGCCCAAAGGATCTTTCGCGTCGTTTTTGGACACGAAATGGACGTTTGAATCATTTTTTGTTGACAATAATGTCAGTATTTTTTTTTTTGGTATTCTAATAGTATGTGAACCAAGATGGTGGACACCGGAACGTAGTATGTGTACCAGTTTAGGGTTAGGCCATAATTTTAGGTACAAATACTACGGGAGTCACTTGACTAGTCCCCGAACTCGTAATAGAACAAAATTAAGAAAAATTAGAATTAAATTATGGCTTATCCCTATCCTGGTACACAAACTACGTCCTGGTGTCCGCCATCGTGATTCACATACCACGGGAGCACTCTTTTCTTCTCATTAACTACTGGACCAATTGCTTTGGAATTTTCAGTGGTGAAAGATTGTATTTCTCGATGGAAAAATAACACTTTTATTTATTTCAAAAATTTCTATAGCGTCTATGGGATTCGATTTTGGACACGTAGTGGACATAACGATCGTTTCAAAATTTTGTTGTTATTGTTATTATTAGTCTCCGTCAACAGGTTTTCAAGAAATGGCTTTTCTCTTCGAATACTGGACCAATTGCTTTGAAATTTTCAGTGGTGTAAAATAAAAATTTTCTCCAGAAGGCTATTACTTTTTTTTCGCTATGACGTCATCAAAATTATGTGACTCTACTTATTCATATATTTGAGCATAGCTCTCTTGTTTTGTGTTGCGATGACGTCTTTAAAATTAGCTGCAATACGTTACCGGTACAGATTGCATACTTGTACCACTTCGTGTCCGTATATTTGAGCATCGCTCTTTCGTTTTTTAAATTTACTTTAATGTGTTGTTTTGGGTAAGTGGGCACGTGTATCAGAACATCCTAAATCTTTTCAGGTTTTCTGTATATTTGTTCGTTTAGCCCTGGATTTCGTATTTGTTTTGTTGTAACGAAAAATCAAAATAAGCTTACTTACTTACATAGAAGAAAGGAGGGTACTCCCGTAGTATGTGTACCAGGTTAGGGTTCGGCCATCATTTTATTCTAATTCTCCTTATTTTAGTTTTAATACGAGTTCGGGGACTGTCTGTGTTAGTCAAGTGAATATACTCTTTGCCCATAGGTTTCAGTCCCTTTACACAACTTGATGTAAAATAGGTGAACAAAATTAGTTACCTCCATACTGGTACACACACTTCTGAAACGCCGAAAGAAGACATCTTGGTCCCACAGCGGCCACAGAACCCTATCAATAGCTGGTCACACTTTCGTCACGCTCTCGATTGGATCGCATAGAACATTTATTTTCATTCTTGCTACAGCAGCCTTGCAATATCCCTACATATCGATTCCCTACATTATTTCATTTCACGAATCAGCCAATGCAAACGCATAGGGCAGTGGTTTTTAAACTTATAGTCCGTGCGGCGCCAAATTATCGGGGGAAAAAACTCACGACACGCTTACACGAAAAAAGAATGCTTCTTTTAAATAAAACTTAATTTTGTGATCGTTAATGCGTAATTTACGCTTTTAAAGTTTGTAAACATGTAGGCTCACGGATTAAAAGCAAAATGTCAAACCTTCTTACTCATCTCCGTGTAATTTTCCTTTAAAATGCTAAAAAAATCAATCACGTTAACTGAACTAGATCCAGAAGATAAATAAACTGCAATGAGAATCGCTGTCATAGGAAAAGGATAGCGGTGGCACAAAAACCCAATCAATGTAATCTATGAATGTTACCCGATAATCCATTTACTTTTTTTTCATTTCCGTAACGATGACCAACCAGCAAAGTGGCCCACAATGACGTAACAATTTTAATTGGTGAAGTGAACTCGCTTAGACACTTTTTAAGGTTTTGCGTGTGATTTTTCAATTTTCTTTTGTATTTTCAAAAATTAGTTATAAAACTTATATTTTTAACAAACATAGAAAACTAAAATTGAAACCAAATAGCCCAGTAGATAAAAAAAATAAGATAAGAAAGGCGATTTTATGTAAAAACAAGAGAACGATGCTCAAATATATGGACACGAAAACCAACGAAGCCTACCCATATCGATTAATCTCCGAGTTTCGCGTAGCGTTGCGTCAAATCAAAAACGTTCGTCATGCTTGGCGGATTAGAAATCGCGTTTCTATGGAAAACAAAAATATAGAGAGATTTCTGATGAACTATCAGATCTCATAGAATTCATATAAAATTTAGTAATAAATGGAAGAAAAATCTTCAACCACCGAAACTTTCAAAACAATTGACCCATTAGTGAGAATGAGAAAAGCGATTTTAACATAACAAGAAGAAGAAAAATACCGACAAGAACAACAACTAGAATTTGGTTGGAAACCGAATACTTATCGATCGAAGGTTAGGGGATTCCCCAAGACAGTGGTCTTACTCCATAGTGACACCGTGTGTCCCATCGCTAATTTATCAATAACTCGCTAATTATACGACATAATCCATCCAAAATTGATAGGCTTCTGTTCCGAACTATGATGAATGCACATGCAAAATTTGGAGATTCAACCTTGCTTTCGTGAGATATCGCGTGTATCTAACAGACAAACAAACAAACAAACACCTATCAGTATACTTACCGATATTAAGATCGATAAGTAACAACATAATAACGAAACGATTCATATCGACAAATTAAGAACGTGACACAATTCGATTTATCTCCATCCCGCCTATAGCCTAACTCCCCCATTCGCCTTTCTGACAAAAAATTTAACCATTTACTCGTTTCATATTCAGAACATGTCCCGCGTTGGTTGACCCAGATAACGTTATGCGTGATGACCTCATAAATCGAACGATTTATGACGAACTGATACGTCACAATACGTATTTTGAACGATGGATTTTTGCACATAAGTCCTACGCAATGGATTACTGGGTAGTAGGAATAGTGGCAAAGGTAATATTTATAAATATTTATTATTATTTTTTTTTGGGGGGGGGGGGGGGGGGGTGTTGTGATTGTTTTGTTTATGAAATATTCAATTATGGCCAAATATAATATTCTTCTTGTGTGGGAGAGGCGGTTGTGATTACATTTTTCATTTGGAACATGGGTGATGGATGAAATTCTAAATATGGTATGGTCCGGACTCGGAATCAACTAACCTGCAGTGATCTGAGCATTGTCACATTGATATCGATTGTTTTTTCCCAACTGTGCGCGAACGTTTTTTGTGTATAAAGGTGAACGTTTGAGAGATGGGCAACTTTTTGTCGCGTGCTTTATACGACATCGCAGAAGCTTACTTTGCAGTGAGCCATGCTTACAAATAACTGGTTAACTAATTTCATTTATGAAATTGACTGGTAACAGGACGGGAGGCAAATTCCGCATATGCTTAGATTGCCTTTTCGGCCTAGCTCGCCGTATAGGAAGTATGAAAATGCTATTCTAACCCAAAGTATTTTTCTCAGGCAATTATAACGATACTCAGCATCGCTGGCACATATTGCAGTGTGTCTTACTACGTTGCAGAGGTCGATGTTCTAAAACTCAAGCGATATCTTCCTGAAGACGGTCAGTTCGCCAAGTCACCAAAAATCAAGTAAGTATTTGCAAGTTAGAGACCTTGAGTTCGATTCTAGACAAGTATGAGGTACAGACTACGACCGGATTTTTGATATGACTAAATAAAGGCAAAAGGTCTAACCCTTTTCATCACTTCTGCCTGATTTTCCTTTGGAATGCTGGAAAAATCACTCATGTTCGCTAAACTCGGTTCAGCAGAAAACTGCACCTTGCGTATCTGTCTCCAGTGTTACGTGACTATGTAACAAAAAGTAAACAACATATAAAGTTAAAACAAAAATTTCTATACAAAGCATTTAAAATAAGAAAAAATAAAACATCCATAATGAATATTCAATTCTATTTTAGTTATATTTAAAACAATTCTGTTCACGGCGCACTTAGCAACTCGACGCGGCGCACCATTTGGTAACCACTGGAAACCTTCTTGCCGCCCCGTCCCCACCCATTTTTGCATGGGTATTTAAAAAAAAATTTGTCAACCATTAAGCCCTAAAGCTTCACTCATGGCTTTTTAAAAGCGCGTGTTAGAGTTCTGTTCAGCAAAATATCTTTAAAACACACTCCCAATAATATTTGTTTTATGCGACAAAATTACTTAAGATATTTTCATGTCCTATACCGATGGCAATAAAGTCGATAAAAGATATGGGGGAAACCCTTATGTCACCAACACTAATCCCTGTTAAGATTTTTGGACACGACATATGAATCATTTGGTTATTATGTTGTTGTTGTTGGTCTTTTTATTCTTTTTGTTACCGTATGAAATTCGCTTTTCTCATTAACTACTAGAGCAGTTGATTTGAGATTTTCAGTGGTTAAAAATTATTATTTTTGCTAGAAAGCTATTACTTTTACTCGTACCTAAATTTCATATGATATTTCATCTAAAATTTATGACATCGTGACGGCGTGTACCAGTTCATACTATGACTAGTCCAAACTATTTTTGTTTTTATTATTTGAAACATCACTTTTTATAAACACATATAAATACGATTGCACTTAAAAAAATGAGTTCATGATAATTTTCCACTTTTTTACAAGATTCGACAGTTTACATTTTTTAGTTGCAATAATTTTTTCACAGTTGAAAATACTTTTTTTCATATATAAAAATTGATCCAATTGAGGCCTCTCATTACGTAATTTACATTCATAAATATAATATCTTGCACTCAATAAAACACAGTTTATACCTTGGTTTTACCCCCAATAATATTTCTTTATATGTCAGATTAAGATTTAACCCATATTCAACAGTTAGCCATGCATTCAATATTTCCCGAAATTTTTGCACAAATTCACAGAAATCCAAACTAGTCCAAACTATTTGAGCATCGATCTCTTGTGTTTTAAACTTCTTCCAGGTCTTTTGCTTTGAAGACTCTATTATTATTCCTCCACGTTCCACCTCTCACGGACGCCTGGATTGACCCGCAGTTTCAGCTTCTGGTTGGGATCAGAACGGTGGTGACTGGAGTCAAGGTTTTAAAAGAGTGCAACGAGTTGAGATATCACGGGTATGTACTATTTCTGGACACGAAGTCCATATAACGATCGTTTTGACATTTTCTTGTTGTTGATCATCATGTTGTTAGTTGATTATTACTTTCTTCTTCTTGTAAAAAAATCGCCTTTTCTGTTAACAACTGGACCAATTGCTCTGAAATTTTCAGTGGTTTGAGATTGTATTTTCGCAAGAAGGGTATTACTTCGAAAATTTTACTGGGGTACATTTTTTGATGCGATGACGTCATCAAAAATTGCGCACCTTGTGGCGGTTACGTTTGCGTTAGTCGTATAATCTGCAGAACGTTTAGGCTTCGTGCCCATATATTTGAGCATCGCTCTTTTTTTGTTCATATTATACAATGAGAGAGAGATAGTATGTCCTAATCAGATTTTTTTAACTGGGGCCCCGTCCCCGATATAGGACCACGGTGCACAGGGGTGTACCGCTTTTTTAAATGAAAAGCAAATATAAAGCATTTTTCTGCATCATACATATAGCAAATTTTGGAATCTTGGGACGCTATAGGATCGGAACCGCGGGCTGTTACAGTCTGACTTGGCAATTAGATATTTCAGAATCCCATATTGAAAGTTTCTGGCTGCACCCCTGACGAAGCAGTTCTTCCTGGACCATGGGAAAATGCCATAATTTAAATTAAATGTGACTCGTTCAATTCTATTACTGTAGTTCATTTATTCTTCTGTTCGTTGGTTTTATTAAAACGTGAAACATCTTTTTACAGACTCGGCAACGTTTTATCCAACCTAGCAAGAATCAAGATCCATGGCACTTTCCTTCTGAAGACCTATTTCCTCCGCTACCCACAGACATCGTTATTGTTCGTCTACCTTGCGGTCATTGCTGTGTTGCCATATCTTCTCATGCTTGCTGAATACAGGGACGGACATGCCCTTTCGTTTCAGGTAAGTTGAGGAATTGTTATTATTAACCTTTACTATTTTTGATCTAGTTCAGGTGTTCTCAAACTTTTGGTGTTATGGAACCCATGAAGAGGTTGACTATTATTTATGGAGCTATATGAAGTACCTTGAGAACCTAATAACATAGTAAGATGTAATGGAACCGATAACCTACTGTTCATGTGACGCATATCGCTTATAACAGGGCCCTATACAAGAAGCCACTGATAGCTAACGATATGTAAGGAGTTTCCATTTTTTGTTCGGAATAAAGGCAAGAAAACAGGCATCGAAAAATAGTTTATTCCATTCAAGCGCCGCAATCTCATCTCAATAATTATATTCATCTACAGGATGCGTGTTGGCTCATGGTTGTCACGGTAACCAACCTCGGTTCCGGAGAAGTGCGACCTCATACAGTTCCAGCTCGTGCGGTTGTTGGATTCGCTTCACTGGTCGGCATTGTGACGACAGCTTTGTGGGTCAATGTCATATCTAAATATATGGAGTTGCCGCAAGAAGAACGAAGAATTCTGGCGATGGTAGAACATCAGAGTAAGTAGTAGTCGGGTGTAGTGTACAGTACCTCTAGTGGGCTTGTCATGACCATTTTTGCATATGTTATTCGCACCCCCCTGACTACATCATCCAAAGATTACGTCACAATCTCGCCAAATAGTTTACCAAAGTATAGCTATGATCGCCCGAAACGTCATCTGCGCCTACGAACTCACTAACACCTGCGATCTCTCTCGTATCGGGATTGCAATGACGAGAAAACGAGAGAAATAGCTTGCTTGACTTCGGGAAATCCTCTGCGCGTTTTGAACGACCACCCGTATAATTTGGCGTAGCCCCTATTACTCCGCTGTCAGGTGGGGTTAAAATAGCAATTTCCAGCAAAAATTACAGTCTTTAAACACTGAAAATTCCATGGCAATTTGTCTAGTAGTTAATGAGGAAGGCGATTTTTCACAACAAAAAGAAGTACCGAACTAACATGCCGATCAAGATCAACAATAATAATAACTAAACAATCCATAGGTCTATTTCGTGTCCAATAACATTCCTTATCTGCAAATTTCAGGGATCAGAAACCTTGAGAGACGGAAAGCCGCAATGTGCATTCAGGCAGCGTGGAGATTGTTTCATTACCAACAGTGTGGGGAGAGGAGAAATGCACGAACAGTTTTCCTTCAGAAAGCTTGCAAGAAGGCGGTTTGGGACTGGAAATGTATAAGGCAGCATTGTGATAGAGGTTGGTGTGAGGTTTGCTATAATTATACCAGCGCCCTATGTGAAACAGATTGACAGATGTATGTATAATATCTGAAAATACTTGCTATGACTTTCAACATTTATATTTACGCAGGTTCAAATTCGGTGGGGAATGAAATGCTGTAGAATGGTTCACGTAACCGTTACGTGAACCACCCTACGACGGCGAGGAATCCAGCAGCAAAATTCTTGCACATAACCATCCCCGCATGGGATTCGAACCTGTGAATCTACGCGGGGTAATTAGAGGTGCGGTGGCGAGCGTATTCTTGATAACGCTTAGCGCGATGCGCCACACCGTTGTGCCTTGTAATTTCAGTTCAAAATATTTTGCTTTAAAATACATTGGTTCAAAATAAGCCATATGACCATAATTGGCGTTTGAAATGCATTGATATTTGTAAGGCACATTCCGTTATCGGTACTGGCAGTAGATCGAGAAAAGCCCGGCGTTAAGCATACGTAGTAAACTGCAATGCGAAGACTAACCTGTTCCTTCCTGCGGCATAGCACATTATGTGTACCCCCAACTCGACTTATCAGCTTTCCTCACTTTGTAAGTACTTATAAAAGCTTGTATGAAATATTTCTTTCTATCACCAGTCCGCAGGTCGATGGAATCAACCTTTTCCACTGAAGACACTTTGATTGTTGCCAGAAATATGGCGCGAAGAATGTCTACTAAAGAAAGTCCAGAGAGACCGAAAAAGTCCGTAGCAGATTTGGTTTGGTGAGTAATATTTTTTTACTTAAATCATCATTTGAAAGGATAGGATTTACATATTTATCCCGGGGGAGAGGAAGCCCGATAAGACGGCTTAAGTATATGGCGAACCACGGCCTCTCGTCCGGTTACCATTCCATGTCGGGTATGGGATAAGTTAGCCAGGTATTTATCTTCGACGGCATGGACTTGATGGTGGAGGAAGTCGTAACGCGATTACGTGAACCACCCTACGGCGGCGAATAGTCCAGCAATCGTCTCGCACATGCGATTTGAACCTGCGAACCCACGCAGGGTAATAAGGGGTGCGGCGGCGAGCGTATTCGTAACGCTTAGCACGATGCGCAACGTCGGGATTCAATATCTAATGACCTTTGTTCTATGGCAATAATTAGTGTGTAAGGTGCGTTACTGATTTTCAAAAAAGGGTGTGAAGTGTCACGGGTCATAATGTCTGTGTTTATGTTGTGTATATATATATTTTGGTGCTCTCGAAGTATTCGTACCAAGATGGCGCACAACCTGAACATGATTTGTGTACCAGGTCGAGGGTTGTTCAGGTTGTGCGTCATATTGGTACGAATACTTTCGGAGCGCCATTATTTTTATGTACATGCGCACGCCTCATTCAATGCTGTTTTGTCGGGTTCAAATATTGTCCAAATTCGCATTTCAACACCCCGATCACTCATTCATTATACGTGCGAGAGAAATTATATCTCTTGCTCTCTTCTTCGGCCGCTGGACTTGAAGTCTCGTCGCTTTTCAGTTGTGTCTGATGCTCTGTTATTCAAAGTGCTAGAGTTGCTGTTTTTAATAAATGATCAATCCGAGTCTTCTGACGTATTAAACACAATGAACAACAAGTACCGGTGTTAGTTAATAATGCGGTTCTTCCAAATGATGATCTTTAGTCGAATGTGGCGGATTTTTCTTTTCTCCTGCTTTTCAACTTATTGTCAAACCTAATATATGAGAATTCATAACATTTTTTATTTTACTCTGGTCAGATCAGAATGTTTTTATTTTGCAGGGAACAGCGAAGCTCACATCTCCTGCCAACCCCGAATCTTAGGGTAAGTAAGGGCTGTTACGTCCTCTGTACGCTATGCAGGATCGGTTAGTTTTGATCTTTGTTTCATGATCTCACCCCGATTCTAATGCAGTGGTTCCCAAAGCCATTTGAGGATAAACTATTTCTCTTGAGTTCGGCGGGCCATATTGAATAGTTACGCGGGACATATATGGCCTGCGAGCCGCGGTTTGGGAACCACTGCTCTAATGTATCTATTCAAAATATATGACGTTTTAGAATGCTCTGGAAACACAATAATCGAATTTAATAAAGTTCCGTTACAACTTGGCTATCCCAGAAGTTTTCCAAATTCGCAGTTTAGTGTTTACAACTCTCTACATCACTGGAAATGTAAAATTCATCCTCTTTTCTTTGCAGCCTAGTTTCATCCGACATGAAGATGAGACAATCGCTCCTTTGGCAGCGTAAGTATTCATTATATTTCTGAGGAGGAGATAGCATTGAACCAGGACATTCCTCGTTATATGCAGTATTATGACGTCACTATCCGCATACTATGACTCATAATAGGTATTTGACGACACTCATCGCGTAACGCAAGTATTTATGATATTTCTTAAGAGGAGAGAGAATTGAACCATGACGTCTCTTGTATGAGACAGTATTATGGCGTCACTATTCCATTATTATGACTCATAATCGGTATATAATTATTGCACGTCTCTCGCGTTTTCAAATAGTATTATGAGGTCACGTGTTTTTATTATGACGTCACCGTGTATAAGCAATATTCATTTTACAGGATGCATCTCATGGACAGATCAGCAGACAATTGGGGAGGACCCAACAATGCTCAGTTGCGACTTGTAGCGGAGGCAATTTCTTCACTCAATAACCAAATGGCGGAAATGAACGAACAATTTAGGAAAAGTCAACGAAGAATGACATCACAATTGAAAGAATTACATAATATTTTAGAAAAACTCAAAACGTGACGTCACTGAATTAATAATTTAAATTTTTTTATTTGAAAAGAAAACGCAAAATATAACCTAATAAACCTTCTTTTGGAAATATTATCTCAAGTATTTGGTGGGTATTGTATTATCTCAAGTATTTAACTACTATTTGGTTACATCTCTACGACAAGATAGCGCTTTTTGCCAGAGGACTCGGGGCCTACTTATGTAAAATAGCGAAACACCAGGTCTAACGTCTACAACAGCGGCTCCCAAACATTTTGTTCGTGATGCGCCAAATTATCAAGGGAAAAACTCACAGCGTACTTACACGAAAAAAAATCTGCTTTTAAATAAATCTCGATTTGGTGATCGTTAAGTAGCCAACTTTCTGCCTTTGTTAGTAAACATGTAGACACACTCTTCCTCCTCGTCTATGTCTGATCTCCCTTTGAAATGCAAATAAAATCACTTGTTCTCGCTAAACTCGATTCAGCAGAAAAATGAACTGCAGCTCGCGAAATTGCAGCAAGAAGTACCTACCTCTATTGTTACGTTAGGTTTAATTTTTTGATTTATATACTCAGCATTTAAAATATTAAACATTAAAACATTTATGATAAATACAATGTGTAAAATATTCAATCATACTTACACAATTATTTTAATTTTCGCGACGGATTAGGGCCATACCATTGAATTGATCCATACGTAACACTACGTAACTGATACTAAATATAGTTAAGATATGCTACGCCAATAAATGTTTTTTCGCTATTTGGCGGTATTGAGTTGAATACGCCGTTTCGCGTCGAATCATTTCCACTCCGACGCTTTCCGCGCTGCGTATTAATTACACGCAGGAACGTGCAACTTTTCTGTTGCCCGGGGCTAGTTCCTGATGATGATGCCCGTAATACATATCTTCAAAAATAATTCGGCAGCATCTATTTTGCCTAAATTAAGTTACGCTACGTTTCCGAACTCTTATGGCCAACAAGCACAGCTTTCTCACTTTAAAGTAATTTCTGGCAATATGAATGCTATGTGAAAACGATTGTTTGTTATTAATAATTCAATTTTGCGGACATAGAATTACTACATGACGTTCAGTATTCGAGCAAATTCTTGGGTTGCGAGATTTTACATTTTTTTTTAAATTTGAATTGCTTGAAAAAAAAAGGTTAGGGGCCACTGACTTGAGGTGATTTCACGGGCATAGCAGCTCTCTCATCCTATGTGACTATTTATTACTTATCGATCTTTAGATTGGTAAGTATGTTGATAGGTATTTGTCTGTTTGTCTGTCTGTTAGATGCACGCGATATCTCACGAAGGCGAGGTTGAATCCGCTCCCAATTTTGCATGTGCATTCATCGTATCTCGGACCAGAAGCATATTGATTGTGGATGAATTATGTCGTATAATTAGCGAGTTATTAATTAATTAGTGATGGGACACGCGGTGTCACTATAGACTCATGAATCGAAACCGCAGTTTCGATCGATAAGTCTTCGGTCTCCGATCGATATACTTGTTTAGTTTTTATTAAAGTGGAGGTCATCACTGCATTATCGAATACTTTTTCATCACCCAGGAACCCTAATCTAAGTTATTGGTGTATTGTCCATGGCAACCATACTGCTGATAGAAAATTTTCTCTCATTTAGTTTAGTTAGTTTTTCATTCAGAAATTTGTAATGTAATTCACCACAATGATTCTTCCCGAATAGTTTCGTTCAAAATTGTAGAACCCTATGAGAAAAAAGAATTTTGTTTGTATCATATGTTTCATACATAGCAATTTTTCGTAGCTTAAAACGTATTTTAGATTAGGCCCTCAAGATTGTTGACAACTCACAGATAGGGCTGAGCATTTTCGAATACCTGATGATTTCAGAATCGATCGAATATTTTTTTCGAATCGAATCGAATCTCGAATACCTCCAGACACATAAATTACTGAAAACATAGAATACATCACTGACAATAAAAAAAAAAGTTTTCATCAATACCTCAATGCAAAAAAGAGTCATATGTCAGAATTGTGTTGGAAAAATATGTTTTCAATGAAAAAAAAATTGAGAAATTTACCTCGACCATTGGCGAAAAGGGTAAAACAAGATGGCGGCGATTCGAAAATTTGCTCTTAACCGACTCGAATAATTTACTATTCGATTCGATTCGAAATGCCCAGCCCTACTCACAGATCGCTAGCTCAGGGTTCCCCAAACTGGGGTCCGCGGACCCCTGAGGGTCCGTAATGACTGAACAGGGGGTCCGCAACGATATGAAAACATCCTGAAACATATACATTTCACCGTTACTGTTGCTGCAAGAAAAGGGCATGAAATGAAATTCGGTTAATTGTGTGACACTGTAGTTATAAACACAATTAAATTAGGTCCATGTGTTCAATCAGTACCAACAGTCCGGATATCAGGTAGCAAATAGATCCGAGTATTCTAACTTCAATATGTATTAAATCAGACTTTCATGAGTTTTATTTCGTCAAAGGAAACATTATCCTTTCTCGTTGGTAGGCACAGAAATTGATACGACACAGCATGGGGGCCGTCAGAAATAAAATTCACAAACAGGAGCCCGGGACCCAAAAAGTTTGGGAAACTCTGCCGGAGAGCTGATACGGTATAACTTGGCGATTAAATATATCGGTGCTCCTGAAGTATGCGAACCAAGATGGCGGACATCAAAACGTAGCATGGGTAACAAGTTAGGGTTAGGCCATAATTTTTTTCCATTTTCCTTATTTTAGTCCTATTATCAGTTCGAAGACTAGCCAAGAGCCTCCCGTAGTAATTATACCTAACATTATGACCTAACCCTAACCTAGTACACATATTACATTCCGATGTCCGCCATCTTGGTTCGCATACTTCAGGAGCCCCAATATATCAGAACCCCCGAATTGTCTAAAAATTCTTGGCCACGCGACTGATTTCAGTATCTCTTAGATGCCAATCTGACAATAGGTCGTGATTTGACAACTATTTCTTTAATGAGAACTTTTTAAGCAGTAAAAATATTTAATTAACCATGTTTGCAACACAGGGTTATTACTCGTTGTTGAAATTGATAAAGGTGTTCTAGTTATAGGTCTCGGGTTCATATCCCATGCTCACCGTATCACCCAGGGTGTAAAAAATTGAGAAAATACACCAAACTGAAAAAATTCCGTTCCACCTGCTTATACGCAGCATTATTCGGATTGAAAATCGTATAAAATGTCACATGATCGAGCAAAAATTTAAACATAAATTCAATCACGCATCATAGATGGCCGTGCCTAACAATACATGACCGCAGAGATTAAATGAGCGAAATTTGTCCGGATTTAATAAAGCTCGAACAATTGGAAAACCGAGACATAAAACCTGGAGGCAATTATAATGGATTACCTTTGCCGAGACGACACATAGGAACAGCGGGTGGCTTTTGGTAACAATCACGGTTAACTCTCAATTGACCTATGTATAGCTACATACTTGTCTAAGTTTTCGTTCTGTGTAAACGCATGAAGCTTCAGTATGACGTAACAAACATATGACGTCATGATGATACTACGTCCAAGTTGTTGCATATGACGTCATGATGAAATACGTCCAAGTTGTTGCATATGACGTCACGTTTTCGTAGAACTCGTCAAGTTGTTGCATATGACGCCACGTTTTTGTAAAACACCTCAATTTGTTGCATATGACGTAACGCATAAAAAGGCACCATGTTTGTGATACGACGTCACGTTTTCGTAAAACACGTCAAGTTGTTGCATATGACGTAGCGTTTTCGTAAAACACGTGCAGTTGTTACATATGTGGTCACGAATTTTCAAGTAAAGTTGTTAGTATGAGTATAAGTTTATTTTGACTCCATAATCAGCATAAAAGACGACGAAATAATTGATAATTACGGGGGTGAGCAGCCCACGCCCGAATGCGGAAAATTGTGCGGCCGCGAAACGAGTTTTCAATTTAGTAATTTCAATTCCTATACCAGTTTATCATATATGCATAAGACGTTACAATGCTATCACAGCTAGCTTGTGCTAACAACGCATGTCATGAGATCAGCAACCAACATTTTTGTATGTGCAACTACTAGAAAGCCTATGTTAAATGGTTTAACTCAGTTATTTGTATCTGGCCCTTCCGTATTGAAGGTTGCACACGCCGAGATAAAAACAAAATAAAACTGATAATCAGGAAAGCGAACAAAACCCCAAATAAGGTTTAAAACGTACAGACTTTAGAATGAAAGGTATTGATAAAAGAAGAAGTGCGTATTTAGTTCATTAAAACACACACGCACGCAAATACATACAATCACGCAGACAAAATAAAATTAGAAAAGAGTTGCATATGACGGCACAAATTGCGAATTTTCCACCATAATGTTTTCTCACTATTAGGCTATATATAGGTATGAACGTTTCCCCGACCCTTGACCCCAGATAATGTACCCTATACTTTACTATTGCAAAATTTTCGGCGCGTATTTTAGAGAGTTGGTACTTACAAACTAGTTTACATGTTAAAAAAACATATTTTTATTAAAAATATTCAACCAAATGCCGCTTTTAGATATTGATTTATAATTTTAGGATAGTCTATCGCAGCGTTTGAGGGACTAATTTTTGTTTATTGCAACTAAACTAAAAAAAAAAACTCCGCGGAAGACATAATGGCAACTAAAATACGTTATTTACGACTAATTTTTGAGAACATAACTTGTAATTTACAAACAACGGACGAAACCCCAAGTCAATTTTTAAAATAAGCCAATCTTGATGTTCAAAACCACGCTTGAATATCTGTCTGAGCAAAACAAATTGCAATTGTTACGTCATTGTTTACTTAATGCTGATTGATCATTGTTACGAAATAAACAAGGAATTGATGCTTGTGGGATCATCCATATGCGTATGTCCTAGTGGTTAAAATGTTAGACTTAACTATGTTGTCTTCGAATAGTCAACATATTACGTCATATGAATGCGTCATATAAAAACGTCATATGAAAATAAGTTGATGCCGAACCGAACCGTCATTATATTACGTCACATAAAAATAAGATAGAGCTGAATTGTCATTATATTACGT